AAAAAGGAAAAGATTGACTCTGTTTCCAAAGCACGGGACTTTTTGAAAATCCAGATGGGTGAGCAAGAGAAAAGTGATAAAGAGGACAGTAAGTCCAGTGGCGAGCTGGACTCGGGGTCTTCTGGAGATGACTCTCTGTCAGAGAAGGGAGCAGCGGCTCCTAAAAGCCCTTATAAACTGCGAAGAAGACAGGATAAGAAGAAATGAAGGCTGAAGGACTCTGTATTGTGCCTTTGAAAAGGGTTGATTGTAACGAGATGCTCTGGGGTTTTTCTTTTTAACAGTTAATTTAATATTCAAAAGTTGTAATAGCAGACCTGACTAAGTTCAAAAAATTGTTAGCGAGTTTAGAACTGACTTTGTACTTAAGAGATTTTGAGGATCTCCTCTCTTGGGATTTTAGATAGTAGTGGGTTTTCTTTTCTTTATCCCTAATTGTAGTTCCCTTCCCTCATTTTCGTTGTAGATTTGTAGTCTTTAGAAAAATGTAATTAAAAAATCCCCTTCAGGGGCAAAAAAAAAGGACAGACAAAAGTAAATACTTCTTTACGCAGAGAGTGATTAAAGTATGGAATTCGCTGCCAGAGGATGTAGTGATGGCTGCAGGAATAGACAATATTAAAAGGGGATTAGATAGATTCGTGGAGGATAAATCTATCAGTGCCTACCAGCCATGGTGACTGTGGGGAACCTCCACATTCAGGGGCAGTCAGCCTCTGAATTCCAGAGCCAGGAGGCAACATCAGGAGAAGGCCTGGGCCTCTATGGCCTGTTCTTGGCCCCCCAGCGGAACTGGTTGGCCATTGTGTGAGACTGAATGCTGGACTAGACGGACCATTGGTCTGATCCAGCAGGACTCTTCTTATGTTCTTATGTGTTGCCATGTATGTTATGTGCTAATGAAATTACAGCAAACCATGCAAAAGTGAATTATTCAAGAGGGTTTTTCAAGACAGGCAATAGAGTTGTACTGTACTAAATAATTCACCAAATTACTTAAACCTTTAGGGACTGTGATCTATACCTCTGTGTTTAGCTTGCTGAAACTAGGGCCCTACTGTGCAATTTTTGCATCATTTAATGTGTCATCGTAAGACGTTTTGCTTCAGTTCTGTTTTTAGATTTCTGATTGGTTCTTCATCTGTAATTCTGTTGTGCTGTTCATTGACTACCCCATCGATTGTCTTGACTCACTCTGTGTAATCTGCTTAGGGTCCAAGTGAGAAAGGCGGACTATAAAGGACGTTGGTAAATACCTTTCCAAAAATAGCCTTAATAATTCATTTTTGTCGGTTTCTGGTTGATGGCGGCGCGCTAGCAGACTCATCTCCCGGACCTCCCGGGGGGTGAAGCTGTGCACCAGCAGAAGGAGGGGGTGCGCAGGATCGTTACCCCCCCCCCAGAGACCCGGTTGAAGGGTCACTGGCCATGGGACTCTTGAGAGTTTGCCTCGTCGCC